ACCCTCACCATGTTCAAGCTCCCACATCTTCAAACTGCTTCTCAGTGAGCACATTGCTCTGTAAGTGTTACACTTGGGCAATGTGTGCAGTTTAGCTAAAGGGGTGGGAACACAAGATGATGCAATGCATACAAAGAGTTTCCCGCACTTTGAAAGTTCAAGAGAGCACTTTAACTTCAGACTGAGCTTTCACAGCTGCCATAAAGACTGAAAGAAACATAGCACCCCTGAATGAAAACTTCAAACATACACTTTGTGGTCAAATGTGTCTTTACACCGGGTCACCCTTTATGATATCGTAGTATCACGTCTATGTGTTAGCTTTTTACAGTCACTTAAAGGTCAACATTGAATCCTGCTATAGTAAAGTGGGAGGTTGGAATGGGTGAGCCAATTTGGACCAAAAAATAAAAAGCATGCAAAAAGGTACCTCAAAACAGTACACTATAGGGAACCCTGAAACATAAAGGGAATCAAAAGGGTAGCTTATAAAACAAAGGCTAAAGAGCAGCTTGAACCAGTTGTAAAACATACCTCTCATAACGACGCTAAAAACGAGTTGCTGTAGGGTAATTTAAAAAACACCAAAAGGTAGATTGAAACTGATGATACAAATGAACTTTAACAAACTGTCAAAGGTATGTTTTCTGAGCTGCTTATGATTGCCTTAAAACATCTCCTTAAAGGTAAGGGCCTTTAAGAAGATGCTAATAGGCCTACAGGTGAATTAAACTGGGAGAATTCTTAAAACAGAGGCCTATCCCGAAGATGATGATGTAGACGTTTGGACTTTCCATTGATTTGATTGAATCTTTGTTCAACCAATAAAAATATTTATCCAGAACGATGGATTGTTACAACCCTAGGTATAACAATACTCTCTTTGTTTTAATATTGTTTTTTGTCATTGTTTTTTAATGTATTGTTTTACTTGTACTTCTTCTGGTTTTCTTTTTAGACTTCTCTTCTGCACTACGGGGACAACAGCAAACAACCCACTTGAACTAACAAAATGTCAGATTTATGCAGATCAGATCCAGTAAATCCTGCTTTAACCTGTTATAAAAATGATGGCTCTGGTTGTTTTGAAAACAGAAAGGGCATCAGGGTTTTATCTGAGTGGAAATGTCAGGCCTCCCAACAGTCCTCAGTGGTAATCTCATAGTGCACGACGTCAGCTTGCATCATGAATCAACACTGACAAGCAGCAGTAAACAATAGTCATCGCAGCCTTGACCAAAACGCATCTTATTTGAGGTGGCATTCAGATAAGAGTCAATCTTGATCCACCCCTCCGATGTGCCCGGAGCTTTCTAATACTTAATTTACGAAGCTGCATCACACCGTGCAATGTGATCCCAGGCAACTGCTATCAGAAACAGGACAGCAGATGGTGTTTTCATTAAAGAATTCAAGCTAAAAGAAGAATCAACCGAATGACTTTGTGTGTGGGTCTGCAGTGCACTTATCATATTACATGAAGTTCTGTGGCTGCCAGGAAAAAAAAAACACACCGGCCAATGTCAGCGAGGATCGCAGATACACGGGGGCTATCCGGTGTGTTGCGTTCCTGTTACATCGTAAAAAAGCATGAGCGCGATCCCTCACCAGAGACCGAGAGCTGAGCCGGTCCAAATAATGCGACCAATAATCCATGCAGGGCTGTAACAAGCAGCGGAGATGACACAGTCCTGACAAAAGGCTGACAGCTGGAGCTAACAATCACCCGCAGACCTAGAAATGAAGTTTGGCCTCTCTCAGGTCATCATTATATTTTAGCTCCAAAACCACAGAATACAGACCGGTATGGGAAACAAACAAGTCAGAGCATTTTTTTATCTTGAGGTTCTGAGATCAAATGTCAACAAACGTCTCATGATTTATGTTCCTGAAAGTTTGTTTTTACACGTCTTATTCCTGGCACAATGTGGCGAGGGCGCAGTGGAAGCGAAGTTCCTAATGGATTGCTTCTTACAACTTATAATCGAAGTGTTCATGCTGCACCCGGTTATTAAAGGTCGATTGGTTTGATTCATGTGTGCCCTGAAACACCCCTATGAATAATAACGAGGCCTAAAACAACCTTTTGGCTCATTGCGCCGTACTTTTTCAGTTGAACAGACGTTCAAGGGGCGCCGGTAGCGTAGTGGTTGGTATGCACGCCCCATTCACAGAGGCAATAGACCTCCAGGCGGACGGACTGGGTTCAGTTCAAAACTGGGTTCCCATCTGTTCCTGCAGGGGGCTCTGGAGGCTCATCGGCAGCAGCCTCCATGCTGGAAATGCTGTCTCAGCCTAACTTTCAGTCAACCTAACAAGAGCCTGAGAGCTGGAGCTGAGGCGGGTCTTACATCGCGCCCACTTGTCAATCATTTCAGCTGTGCGCCTAACTATCATGGGCTTCTGGACAATGTGCCACATTGTCAACATTCAGACTTAATTCTAAACATTTGGATACATTTTAGACAATTCCACCTTATTCTTTACTCTAACGTCATTGTTGAGTGTTCTCTGTTGAGTTGAGTTTTATTGTTTGTTTTGCATCACTTTTATGTGGGACTACAGGTGGAAATCAGCGACTCGCTAAATCTGGTGCAAACATCTTCTCTGTATATCCTGTATCCTTTGTATAAAGGATCAAACTCATTGCATACCGTCCCCTGATGAATAAAATAAATGACACTTCTTTTTACTTGCAACATTTCCACTTCCACTTGTTGACATTAAGACTTGAATCTCTATATTTGGAATTGATTTCAATAATGTCCTCTTTATTCTTGACACTTTCACTGTACAGTCCTTTAAACTTTATTTTGCTTGATGCTTCGACTTTATTCTCCGTACTTTCCACTTACTCTTTTATCTCACTCCTTTTCAACACTTCGACTTCATTCTCAGCACTTTGACATATCTCTGATGTCTGATCCTTTCACTCTTAAATAATCTCATGTCTGCAGAAAGAAGCCTCTTTGTGTTCCTCCCGATCTCCTCTGAGCTCCACAACCAGTTGCTAAATCTAGTTTAATAAGCTGACACATATATTTCCCTCCTTCGAACACAGTTTTATAGAGTTGGCTTTACAGTGTTTCAAAAGCCTCAGGCTAAATTTAACCGCTGCCTTTTTTAATTAACCAAACCATTTCACTTGTAAACATTTTTTATTTTCAATTTAATTACCCAACATTTAATCAGACCCCATTGAGTTTTTGATAAACACCAGGGGAAGTGTTTCACTTTGGTTGTTAATATAGCCATGACGTTCTGCTGAAAATCCCCCATGTGACGGACAAGGCGTCAAACTGTCAGCGTGCTCGCTCTAAGAGAGGAGATTGGAGAACAGGATGCTCTTTGTTCATAAGTCCAATAGCATTTTGGGGCATGCCTGGTGTAAAAGAAAAGCTGGTCTGAACTGTCTGCCTGAATGTGTTACTCAAAGTCAACATTTACTACATCACAACAAAAACTAGTTCAACAACAGCCTCTGTATTTATATTACAGTATAATATGTTGTCATGCATTATACATGCACTGTAAACATATCTACCTTATTTTAAAGGTCACATATTCTCTGCCTCTTCAACAAAGTTTAAAACATGTCTGTGAAGTTTCTTATTCTAAATCCACTCTGATCCTGTATTTGATCATGTCTATAAACCCCTCTATTTCAGCCCTGCTCAGAACAGGCTGTTTCTGTGTCTGTACCTTTAAATATGTAAATGAGCTGTGTCTGACGACGCCCCCTCTCTGGGCAGTATGTGGGTCTTTAATAAACACAAAAAAAGTTAGTTTTTCTGCGGTGTAAACGCAGGCAAGTAACAATAATAACGCTGCATTGGGTCACACTTTGAAACAGATTGTTAAGACAAATTTGACATTTTATGAGTTTTTGGTGCCGTAAAAATAACTTACATAATGTAAATGTAACAAGCTGAAAAGCTTTTGCTTAAACAATACAAGATGGTCTGTTTGAGTGAGGCTATGAGTACGAGCTAAACACAACAGTAACATATATATATATATATCATAAATATTTATTTTGGGTGATTTTTGCCTGTATTGGATAGGACAGGTGAAGAGAGAGAGGAAACACTGGAAGGAGAGAACAAGGGACATAACCACTAGGCTCTCCGATGCCCAAACAGACACTACTTTGTTATACCTCACAATTGAAATTCTACAACCAAAAAGATGAAGACGACCTGGAGGTTTACATTGATGAATATTACAACCGACTTTATACCATGAACAACCTTTGGGGTGACTATAGAGGAGAACAGGGGATGAGAGAGAGAGAGGGGAGTGACATGCGGCAAAGCACCGAGGGTTGGAGTTCAACATTGGTCGCCTGCTTCGAGGACTAAAGCCGTTTCTACATGGTGCGTGCAATTTAACCGCTAGGCTGATGATATTATTATACAAATAGAATTTTAATGAAATGTTTTAAGAGTTTCATCTGATCTCAAATTGAAGCACAGGTACTGCACTGACTGTGAGGCGATCTTCCTGCATTTGCAGAATCAATATTGAGAAATACTGAAAATATCTTTGATATTATGCACAATTAATCACATATCGTCCTGCCTCCATGATACACCCAGTCGCCCACACACTCACACACATGCACACACACATGCACACACACACACACACACACACACACAGTCTGCAGCTGTCATTATCTTGGACAAGAAGCAGAATGAACTGACAGATCACCAGTCTGGCACATAATGATCTCGCCTGGATCAGTACCAAGATTACAGCTTCATTACATTTACATCACGTCTCCAGAGACATGGATTTTCTATGTGTGTGTCTGTGTGTGTGTGTGTGTGTGTGTGTGTGTGTGTGTTTGTTTGTGTGTGTGTCTCTGTGTGTGTGTGTGTGTGTGAGCTTTGGCCACATCAGGGAGGTCTAGCAGAGGAAACAGAAACTCTGTGTATTGGCATTCTGCAGGCTGCATGGCTCTGGCTGTGTGGAGTTGAGCAACATGAAGGTCTTACCAGAGGAAGTGGTGAAGTCTGACTCCAGGCAGCGCTGAGGAGCCGCTGAGCTCCCCGGGAGAAACACCTAGAAAAACAAACAAACTAATGAGCATCGGAGATCAAAATCACAGTCCTTCTACAAAAATAAAAACCAGTATGTCGTCAGGAAAGACGAATGAATCACAAACATGTTTCTGCGGTGTTAGAAATGGACTGCAGGAGCTGGTTTTGAAAGACTAAAGCGTCCAATTATAACACAAACAACCCAGGAATGTGCCTGTTTTTTTAAATTGAAATGGAAATAATGAAAATATTTCAAACATTTCGATGGAGTGCATGAAATAGATTTGACACATTTTGTCAGGATGTAGTCAGAACAATACATCCGGCTAAAATGACCTAAATGCAACACATACTCTCAAGAAAGGCGCTCCAGCTGCGGAGAAAAAAAAAAAAAAGACTGGTGGTTTCCACATGTGGTTAAGAGCAGAAATACCCCCCCCCCCCCCCCCCGCCCACGCTGCAAAGAAATCCCACGTTTCCCTTTTAGGAGCAGTGGCCCACAAATGAGGCAATATATCTTCTGTTTTTTTTTTTTTAGAGTCAGACCCCAAAGCGAAGAACGGGGAAAAAAGTGGATAAATAAAACAACATGTGACAAAACATGTGCAGTGACTTAGACATGAGCTCTCAGGTTTAAAACCCAAATGACAGTAGAAGTCATGGTAAGTTCACGTTGAGACAAAGAGAGAGGGGAAAAAAAAAGAATAGGGCAGGATGCGGCTGGATTTTGCAGAGAGTGAGAAAGAAAATATTTGTTTATGACGTTAATTCAGCAACAGGACGGGGCCGGCCATCTCTCTCTCAGACAGACGGTAATCACTCGTAATCAGACTTAATGGGCGCTCTAATGGGAATGCTTTTTCCTCCCTCTGTGCTCATGTGCAACACTCTCTAACAAGCTCATCTGTCCGCGCACACAAACAAGCGAGCACGAGTGTATGTGTGTGGAGGGGAAATGTAACACAGCACTTCATCTAAAAAGGGAATCTTTGTTGGAATGACTGTGTCTATCAAAAACAGGACTACATCATCAAGTCCAATATTTGTACGTTGTGCTCATTTACATATTTGCTTTGTGCATTTTCTCACTTGCACGCTTTCATTCATCTGCAGCTCTGTCGCCTCCTGCACGCTCTCCACCAACACAGATGAATTCTACATTTTGCCTAATTCTGTCGCAGAGTGGTTTGAGAAATGTCGAGCAAAGGCAGGAAATAAAACTTTTAGCACTCATGGCATGCTGCATGTCTCTGCAAGGTGCCCCGGAGTTCTGAACAGACACCCTGACTGTAAATAAACGGCACTGTGTGAGCTAATGTAGGGTCGTCTCAATACCAGATTTGAAAACGTCTGTACAATTCAAGTAACGCTCATATGATATCGATACCTCTTCTCAGTCAGAAGGCAACAAAAATAGAAGTGCCACACACTCCAACATTGTGTAATGTGTTGTTTTTTTATTGTCCAGACTTACTCTGTTTGATTTTGAAAACTCAACAGAGACACAGTTTGTGCAACGACAGGCCGTGAAGAAGTTGTTGTCTGACCTTGCACACTGTTAAGATTCCACAAATACATTTCCAGTGATGTGGAGCGAGTTAGCCCTCTGTCTGTTCGTAAGAGACATGATTGTGACTTTGTCCACTTGTGAATTTGAATGGACCGCCGGTGTTCTCTCTTTCTCCTGCTGGACCGACTTAGCGGCAGCCTTACACATTAACAAGGTTTAAAGCTACCTAAAATCTAATATAGTAATAAAATCACCCTAACTCTGATGACATTATGGCACATTCCAGTCATCTTAATAACTGGCAGTGAGGGGTAGAAAATATTACCAAGATCAAATTTCTTTAATTATTGTACATTTAAAGCTAGGGCTGGAATCTTTGGGTGTCTCACGATTCAAATTCGATTCTTGGGGTCACGATTCGATTGAGAATCTATTTTTTTTACATTTCCTATTTATTCTATAAGCGACGTCTGCATACTTCTTCCTTATATCCAGTGGCGATTTGGAGTTTGTTGGGGCCCTAGGCAAAAAAACTAAACAATTGGGGGGCCCTCCAACCAGTGTTCAACGGGGCAACGAGAGCGAGTGCTGTCAGATGGAGCCCCCATGTGGAGGTTTCCTACCAGCGTTGCAAAATTTGCACAGTTTCGGCCACTGCTTTGGGGGCCCCCCTGCTGGTCTGGGGCCCCAAAGCAGATGCGTGCCTTGCCTGTTGACAAGGAGAGCCAAAGCTTATATCTTAAATCTTAATTTTGCAAGTTTATGTCACCAAATTTACAAAGGAGAGGACAATGATAATCATGAAGCCTCTTCCTCAAGAGAAAATGAAGGTCAGTTATAAATAAATCAGTGCACATACATAATACATTCTGGACCTTTTGTCATGTTTCATTCATGTGAGTAGATTGATATGTCCGCCTTAGGTTAACAACTTGAAATACATTCACAGAAGAGGAGTTTAACAACTTCATAAATGGGACAATTAAAAAAAACTTTCAAATGTTTCACATTCCAGTGGGTGAGACTTAAACAACGTTTGTCACATTTTATGTAGCAGCTTCCATGTTTCTGATTCTAACTCTACTCGTCATGTTTCCCCTCCCTCCCCTCAGTCAAACGCAACCGTACCGAAAACATTTTCTCCCAACAAGTGATACTATTCAGACAGAAATCTGTGCGTGTATATTTTGGTAAACAGAAAGACAAAAAAAATGGATGAAAAGTGAGTGTGTGTGTGTGTGAGAGAGAGACAGAGAGAGAGAGAGAGAGAGAGAGACAGAATCTGTTACTCAGTTTCCATGGTGATTGGAGTTATTTTTTGACAATGTGACGCACATTTTTCAGCATCCATTTTTCTTCTTTTTTTTTTCATCTTCATCTTTTCCATGCAGTGAGCTAAAAGGTACAAACAGTTTGAACAAGTAAAAAGTGAGATTAATGGACGTTTGAGGCTGGGTGTGGGCCTGGAGAAAGTCTCGACTGAGTCGTCTGGATGAGTGTGGACAGTCTGGACATTAATGGATGTAAATGATGGAGTTAAAGTAGGGCAGAACTCCTCTGTGAGTACAAGAGCTTTCTTGTAGAGCCCGACTGATAAATCTGCCAGCCGATAATACTGGCCGATATTAGCATATCACATGACTATCGACTAATGGCTAATTTTGTCTCTGATATGCCCCAAAATTTTCAGTTTCAGGAAGAGGCTGAAATAAGTATTTTTATGGGCGCCTGTTTCAGATAAATCAGGAGTTTTTTGAGCTGGAAATGATGCAAAGCTACTCAACAGGTTTCACAAACTGAATATAAGAAAGGTTAAAATGAGGATAGTATGGAGTCTTTAAAAAAAGCGATGATACAATACATCACGACAGGATAGGATAAGCTACGCTAAGCTTCCTTAAGACCTTATCACCAAAATGCACCAAAGGGTCATTTTAATCTAATGTGGACGTGTTGGCTTTTAGCAGCCAGCTTCAAGTGGACACATGAGGAACTGCAGCTTTTGTCACCTCCACAATGGCCTCATTTAAAACTCACTGACTTATTATGTAAATGTCAAAATAGTTCTATTGACGCAGTGTTTTTCATGTGTTCAGTGTTGTTTGTGTCAGATTTGGCTAATGTTAGCTCCAGTAGCTCGAGGGATGATCACCCCCCGTCACCTTTTGTGCAGCAAAGGCGCCTCTCTTTGCTCTTGTTTTTTTTTTTTTTTTTCACTCACTGCTGCTACTGCTGCTGCTTCTGCTTCTGTTGCTGTTGCTGTTGTTGTTGTTGTTGTTGTTGTTGTGCTCCCGGCACCTGACGTGCCTTTGTGGGTTTTTAGGAGAAACATCTCAAAAAAAGCTGCAGGTTATAAAACGTTCAAATGTCCTCCATCACTGCAGCTTTTCCTCTTTTTGTACAATTATGTAAAACACATACAAAGGCAGCTGCTGTGTACTGTAAACGTGTTAAAGTCAACTTGGAATCAACAAAGAGAGAATCCTGATAAAAGTAGCGCCTTATATAACTAATCAAAAGGAAATATATTTTATCAGTGCATCAGTCTATCACCCCTCCTAAACCACTGAAGGAGGGTTTTACAAATTGAAAGTCCTCTTCCTTGATGATTCTTTACAGGGGTGGTAAAAAGTAATTCTTCTGGAATTAAAATGTTTGTTATTCTCTCGTTTCTGCGGCCGCTGTTCGGTCAAGGACAGTCTCCAAGTGTTCCAGTGTGGGAGGTAATAAGTGAAGCGCTAATGGAAACCATGTGAACATGATAAGAAACCATCGCTGCAACCTCCGCGGTGTGATGAAACAGTTCAAGGTGGACATAACCTGAACGAGTCTGAACAAGTGAATCATAGCTGAGAAAGAGCCTTAAGCCTGCATTCTTTCTCATGACCAGCAGGTGGTTCAGAAAATAAGACCCATCTGGTTCCTTCAGCTTTCACTCAGGAGCAAAAATTGGCCCTTTAAATTTGAAAGAATGAATGTTTTGACATTTATCCTGATAATTATCGGTATCGACAGAGGTGTACATTCTTTATTGTGATAACAATTTTGGTCATATCGCCCAGCTCTGTCAAGAAACCAGAATGTCTTAGCGAAGTTCTTCTTCGTTAGCCTACTTAGCATAAAAATAAATCATAGCTGCCACTAGCAAACGTTGTTCAAGGATAACAAACAGGGTGTGACGCTAACAAAGACTGTATCATTGGTCAAAGCAGGATAAAGTTTCCTTTTTTTTTTTTTTAAATACTGTTATCACACCTTTGCTTTTCTCTGATTCACATTTTTCCATCACGTCGATTTGTGATAATAAAGCAGGCCAAAGGAGCCGCATGGTGCAGACATGAACCCAACCTGAGGTCAACTCCTACAGAAAGGAACCCTCAAAAATAGAAGAAAACCACAAGAGCTGTGGTGTTACTAAAATATACGTTCTATATCTTCAATTCACTGTTCATGTCGAGGTTCAACTTGGGACAGGACGAGAAGGTTAACTTCTGCGAAGAAACTGACTGTGC